GCTTTGCCTTCTATAATCATATATTTGATGTTTAAAAATAAATAAAAAATGAAATTAAAATAATTGATACATGTATACTTCTTTTATTTACTGGTACACTGTCGCATTTTACAGATTTCAGCATAAGGGTTTCGTGAATACCTCAATCAAAAGATTACAATGGAAAGTGGTTGATTGCTTTACAAAACTGTTTATTAAGGAATTGAACTTTCCTCACCTTTTTATTACCATAACTAGCCTTTTTGACAAAGCCAAGCTGATATAAATATGCCGATGTAAGACTGAACATGCTGAAGCGCCATTTTTATCTGCACTTCTGGTTTTGTTAAGAATTAGATAGATCGTACAAAAGAATTTAATAGATTGTTGGCGTGGAAATGTCGATTTCTATGCGTAAAATACGCAGAAATATGCGTTAACGGAAACACTGATACATGATATAAGAATGGAACCCTCTCAATCCATGAACAATTACTTTATCCATATATTTATGCATACATGTATATAAAAGTTACCCATGAAATTATGTCCTTGGGAACCAATAAAATTTTGCTCGCCCAAGAACATTGAAATCCAAGAATCAAATGATTCAGCAGTATTACGTTTATCTAAGAAATGTTATAAATATAAATATGTTTTTGACTTACATTGAAAGGTTGGTTTATTCATGGTAGCCATGCGTGGACAATAGTGCTGGCCGGGGAATCCATGGATGTGAACCTCCAGGGGCACAGGTCGCACTGAGGGACGGAAGTTGTACAAACCCATCTAAAGAAATACATACATGTAGAAAATGTCTACATTTTTAGCTCTACAGGTCAGACACTAGAAGATCTTATGTAATAGTAAGGTGTTTATCATTCTTTTATCTGTCTTTTTAAAAAACGCTACTCTTCCTACAGATTTGGTCTGATTTCAATATAACTTTAAACTTGGCATCCCAAAGAAACTTCACTAATTAAGATTCATATTAACATTATCATCTGATTTTGAAGAACCAAGTTGTCATGGTTACTGAAAACATAATTTACTGTAAAATACTTTCAATATGCCACTCCTCCTTCCGTTTTGGTCTGATTTCAGTGTAAGTTGGCACCATGAATTTTTAAATTCAAGATTTTACAATTCTGTATGCAGGAAATTTTTCGCTAAGTTTTATTTTTGTCCCTTTCACCCGACCCTCAATTGGATGAATTTAAGGTCAAGATCTAGTAAATAACTTTAGTCTAGTTTTTTGGTGCTAGATCCATTATGACGTCATAATCAATTTCAACTTTCTTTTTCCCGTACTTTACGGCTTTAGCAGAATTATGTAGAAAATGTGGTATTTTCATGACATTCAATTTCAAATCGTATGAAAAGTAAACCGGATACCTATATTAAATTTGAAATTGATTTAAAGAAGAGGCCATGAACATACTAATTACCGTTTTCTGAGAGACTGTAGGCAATCTGGATACATTTCCTTTGTCGAATTTGAAAAAAACTCCCACATTCATGACTGGTTTTCTTAATTTTACATTGAAAATGACAGTTTAAAATACATTTTTTCATCTTGTTTACCAACAAATTATGCCCCGAAACACTTTATTTGACCAAGCTAAAGTTGTAAAGCATCAATAAAGGAATTTATTTCTCAAATTTGATAAATCTGTAGGCACCTTTCATTTACTAGATCTTGACCTTAATACAGGGCAAAATTGTTTGCTAAGTGTGACAGGGCAAAAAATTGTGGGTTGAAAATAACCCCGTTATAAACAGTTCTTATTTTATTGTGAAATTTTTCCAAAATTGAAATCAACTGCTTAGCAATCAAAACTACCTTACCAATAATGCCATAATTGAATCCTGACTTAAAATTCTGCTTGTACCTGCTTGATTCCGAGCCAGTCTGCCAGATCTCGGGCGTTAGCCAGTGCTGTAGACAGACCGACCACCCTGACCGGCTTCTCTGTGTGGGAGGAGATAAAGTTTGTACGGGAAACAATGACCTCCAACACTGGTCCTCTGTCATCACCTAGGGAAGGAAACTAGTTTATAGGACTTAATTCTCTATGTTAATTGGTGTACATGGCCATATAATGATTAAATCAATCAATTTTGTTTGGATTGAAATACTGTTAAACAAATTCAGAAAAAATGATGTGTGATAATATATTAATAAATGATTATATAAAATTTTGAAATGCAAATACACATATTAAAACATTACAAAGTACAGTATACGAGAAAAATTAACCAGGTTAATTTTTCTCTTTTCATCCTCTTATTAGTAGTCAAATTCAAAAGCAGGCAAAATCAATATGTTTAAGAGCCATCTTGTTGTTTGGTAAAAATAACATGGTGGGGAAAATAACCTGTTAAAAAATTAAATAAGCACACATTCAACTTACCCAGTAGATGTATCTCATCAATGACTAGGAGAGACACGGCCTTGACATAACTCCTGGTCTGCCAGCTTCTACTGACCCCGTCCCACTTCTCTGGGGTCGTCACTATCAGGTCAGCATTGGCCACCGCCCTCATGTCAGGAGTTACGTCCCCTGTCAACTCCACCACCCTATAATCATAATATGTGGTTCAGAAAAAAATACACTGTGATTCTGGATAGTAAACATGATCATTCAGTAAGACAGTGGTTCGCCTAGGTTTAATCATACTTACTTTTTACCCAGTTTTTGCTCTATCCTGACCTTCCAGTCTTCCATTCTTTCCCTGACTAAGGCTTTCAAAGGGGCTATATACACAGCCTAAATCAAAAAGTAAGTTAAAAATTTATTTGAATCTTTTGATTCTTCAATAAAGTCATCTTTAAATGATCTATCAGGAATCAGATGATTCTTTCTTTTCAGAAAAGTCTTTTCTCTGTCTGCTGAGATAATGGTTCTGGATAACTTTGGATTTATCAAGAGGCCCAGGGACCATTCTGCTCACCAGTAATTATGCTCAATAGTAACTGAACTCTGTGTTTCATAATCAAAACTGACTCCTAATTAATTAAAGCTGTGTGCTCACCTTAGCTTTGGGATACTCTCTGAACACTCTAAATATAGCCATCTCTGCTGCCACGGTTTTCCCGGACCCCGTGGGGGCCCCCAGTAGGACGTTCGTGTCTGTGTGATACAAGACGTGGAAGATCTGGGTCTGGATCGGATTAAAGTGAGAAAACCTGTAAAGGGCCTCCAGGGCGGGATTGTCTAGGGCAGACTTAGGGAGGGGAGTCAGGTCCAGTAACTCTGTAATAGGAGGTTATTAAGATTTACAGAAACTGGAAAATAACAATTTTTACTTAGAAGCCACACAACATCTCTTTGAGTTACTGTAATAGATTCCCTTTTTCCCCTAAGATTTATCAAGAATAGTTATGAGAATGATAAGAATTGTTACCTGTTTTAAGACACCTGACTTACCTGTGTGAGGGGGATGCCTTTCAGGTAAGATGAGATGTTGGAATGATATTGCACATGAACTCTGAGACCCCAGCCAGCGATCTGACATGGCTCTCACGTAGTACTGGGAGGGGAGGGGCTCAAAGATAGGGATAGTGAACACCAGCTGCTGGGCTTCCCCTGCTAGCACCTGTCAATTGATCACACAAGGAATACATAATGTAAAACCTACAGGTAATAGTAGCTCTCTTTCCTTCTAAGACTTCAGATAAGCTTTAAAATGCATTTTGAAATGTGATATTGAAAATCTAGATCTTTTATCCCACAAAAAAAAATTCAGATTTGGATTAACAAGCACCTGCTTCTGTAGTGACTGGAATAAGTACCTGTTTTTTGTGCAGTAGGAAGTACTCGGAGTGGTAAATGTGATTGTTATCTGGATCCTCCACCCAGATCCAGAACGATTCGGCTGTGCTGCCATGTACCTACATCACAAATAACAGATTTCAAGGTTATATACAACATGGATGTAGTCAAAAAGAGTCCAAATAAACAATACTTGATTTTCAATAATAAAATCTACTACGGTCCAGGTAAGGTACATGTAAAAAGAAAGAGCAGCTGTGTACAGACCTTGTCATCCCATCTGAATTCCGGCTGAATAGAGAGTCTCACTCTTAATACGGTCCGTGTGATTGGCTGAATACTGGCCTCCAGATCCAATGAAGGAAGCTGATTCACACATTTTTTAATCACTCCGCCCATTTTCGGATGGTGAACCATGTGACCTATACATAAATGGCAATACGGTTTCAATTGTCTCAAACAAAGTCCAATGACAAGTAAAACAATTCGGCAAATCATATGTCCTGATTGTGTTTTTATTCAAGTTTCAAATTTAACTTCTTTTACACCTAGTTTCAAGTTATTTTCAACAATTCAGTTGAGTTCAAGATCTAGAACTTTGTACATGCAAGCTTGCGGATTAGGCCTTAACTCTTTTTTAATTCATAATTTCTGCATTAACAATGTATTTAAAACTTTGCCTTGTTTATTTTGCCTAATACTTCTGATTCAAAAATCATTACACAGAAAAATCACCAATTCCGTAATCAATGTCACTGATTTGAATTTTTCCAAATATAACTATCTCCCAAACCTATTTCCTTGGGGTCCATTTCCTTGAGTTTGTCCACGGTCAGTTTCTTGGCCTCCAGCTTGTTGAGGATTTCGCTAGTGAGGAGGGGGAACTGTCGTAGAGGGTTCTCAAACCCCCAGAGTCGCTTGTCTATCGTCTTACACAGGTTCAGAAGTCGCCCCGCCATCACGGGCCAACCTTTCTTCAAACTGACTTCAAACAGTGCTCGGACTATCCTACCAGCATTCTACAATGGTGCCAGGATACAATTTGATATACATACAAATTAATGTCATGGTACAATTAGTTCAGAATTCTCATAAACAATTGTAATGTTGTATAGGGCATTGAATAAATAGATTATTCAGTGAGATAAGGTACTTGTACATGTATTTTCTCAGATATGGGGTCTTAATTTAAAGTTTAAATCAATACTATTTATTTTTGCATGTTCATATTCTCTCTTTAGATACTCCGAAATCCCCCAAATAATTGACAAAATAGACTTTTAAAACAGACTATTACTGCTTAAAATTTCTTACCTGAGCCACATAAGCCTGGTCTGAGACCAGAGAGAATGCGTCCATGTTGTGTCTTGACACGTAGGCCTGTAACAGAATGTTGACTTTACCGTACGTGTTCTCTGATCCGCCGAGCACCTGCATCACACAGATGTTGTGAAGAATGTCATCTAATTCATCCATCTCATCATCTCGGACCTAAACTTCATTAGAAATATCAAAGTACTGCATTCAGAGAGTGTCTTAATGTAAGGTTTAGATGAAAAGGTTCAATGATTAGAGAACAAGTTACCTTAATTTGGTCAAACTCTTGAGACTTGGACAACAGTGCAAATACATCTGCCTCTGTCATAATTTGCTTTAAATGCTCATTCACCACCTGTTAAATTACATTTCAGAAATAACAATGTTAGAATTAATATAAAATCATACCAATTAAAAAAAATACAGAAGTTGTTTAACTGGAACCAAACAGAATCTCACCTCGACCGTGTCATATTTGATGTAGAAGTGGCTGGCAATCCGCCCCTGGTCAGTGGAGGCAAAATAACCAGTCCTCTCATCAAACCTGACCATCTGGGCCTTGTCCAGCTTCCTACCAGCGTCCACAATCAGATCTCGACGATGCTGCTCCAATAACGGGTCATTCTACACAAAACAATGTCCATAACTCAATATTGGTAAAAACACCTAGTATAAACTACATTAGATAAGCCTTTTATTTACAATACATTTAAAAAAGTAATACTGATGGTGCCACACATTTCCATTGTGCAAGAAGAAGTAAGCACCAAAGAGAGAGGACAGGAAAATGAGATACCGAGGACAACAAGGAGAGCATGGTATGGCACCAATAAAATAATCAACACACGATAAGTATCTCCCTTACTTTGATATCCTTGCTCACTCATGTCACTGACCTCCCCCTCATGCTCCTTCATGCTTCATACAGACAGACAAACATACCTCCACAGCATTATAGTTGATACCGTAGACCAGAGGATTGCACCTCATCCTGACATACAAACAGACAAACTTACCTCCACAGCATTATAGTTGATACCGTAGACCAGAGGATTACACCTCATCCTAACATACAGACAAACATACCTCCACAGCATTATAGTTGATACCATAGACCAGAGGATTACACCTCATCCTGACATACAGACAAACAGACAAACTTACCTCCACAGCATTATAGTTGATACCGTACACCAGAGGATTGCACCTCATCCTGACATACAGGTAGGTGTAACTCAGCCACTTCACTGCCTCTTCAATGTTAGTCACTGTACCCAGAGCTATCTGTAATGATAAGCAAGGGGTCAGGTTTTTATTAAGCAAACGAAAACACACGCAGACTGTTATTTACCAAACATACTTCTGTGCTCTTTTTATATTGTTTTATAAAGGTATTAATGGAATTCCAGAGATACACATAATCAATTAAAAATCAATTGGAAAGGGTAAAGATCTTGCTGCTTGGTACATTGTAATTAAAACAAAGAATAATTGAAAGGGCCATCTGAAAATAAAAGCACAGATCATACCTCGGCATTAAGGTTGTCTGTCAGACTGTTCACAAACTGACTCTCTATTGGATTCTGTCGGGTCATCAGTGACAGGTAATGAGAAAGCTTCTCGTGCGCCGTGATGATCGTTCCATGTCCGAACTTGTCAAACTGTGGACGACCCGCTCGCCCAAAGATCTGCATGACATCCAGAATTCCCAGATCTATGAAGGCTCCCTTCTTAGAATCATAAATCTCCTGCGTGGTGAATTCCAAAACCATCGGGGAACAGCTCCTTAAGCTGCTTGTTACGAGATTTCAGTGTCTGAAAAACCAAACATGTCATTCAGTTTTAATGAAACTCACCAATTTTTCTCCGTGTCTTTGCGAGGAGATATTTAATTAACTTGAATTATTACAAGGACTAATATTAACTCACTGATTTTTCTGCCTGCCCATACTGAGCGGACTGCTCTGGAGAGAAGAACCCCATCTCTCCGTTGTTTTTGGCGATTTCTCGGAGGACCATGGCCGTCCTGACAGTGTCATTCCGAGCATGAACAAACACCATCACCTGGTAACCCTGCCTGACTTGTTCCAGGACCTTGTCATAACAAACCGTGTTCATGTCCTGCAGAAACTGAACTTTACTGGTCGCCTTAATTCCTGCGAATTAATCAACGGTAAAATCATATATAATTTAATAAATTTAGATTTTCTCCTGTGAGAGCATTTAATTTTTTTTAAATTTCAAAATTTTATCATTAAACCAAAACTCAAAACTGCATTATAAACAAAATCTGATAAGCATTTGAATGAAAAATTACTCCCTAATTGTTAGACAGAAGCCAGTAACAAAATAAGTTTTCCTTTACCTACAAATGTTTGTCCGAGAGGGACTGGTCTAAACCTTCCATCAAAGAAGTAGAGTCCTACATAAGGATTGACATGAAGGAATCGGGCCACATCAATGTAGTTAGGGAGGGTGGCAGATAAACCAATGATACGAATCATACTTTGGGAGCTCTCCACCTACAGAAAATATATAAAGGTTTCTTTAAACTAACGGGCATGTAGCTTTAGCTGCAAGCTTGCTAAAATGTATGGCAACCCAATGCAAAGTTATATACATTACATACAATAATCATTAGTATTTTTTCATGCAGGGTAGAATTAAGTATAGACTCAGTTACTCAGAATCTATAGGCACTTCAAAATTTGTTACCTTCATCAAGATTTTTTTTCTGAATTACAAGCATACCATTCAGAGATTCAAAGAAAATTTCCAATTAACTAAGATTTCCTTATAAGTGATTTCTTTTATCGCTATTTTTTACTGTATTTAAAACCTCTTTGGGTTCGTGGTCTGTACCTGTCTGATGGTTCTGGCTACCAGGCTCTCTATGACTGACCCTCGGTCATCATGAAGAAGATGGACCTCGTCTATAATTAGTAACTTGACCAGCTGGGTCAGTGCCACATCCCCAGTACTCTTACGAGTCACCACGTCCCACTTCTCTGGTGTTGTCACCAACATCTACAATGGAATAAAACTTTAACTTTACTTTCAATTTAAGATTTACTTCAAAGAAAATCAAAAATTCTCTCTATTCAACCTCTGGTACTCGATGCTTTTATGTGAGAATTCAATGGCGATGAATACATTAGGTAAGTCTTAACAGAATTTGAATCATACATGTAGCATTTCCTTTGCCTAAATTTGATTACAGATTCATAATCAAAATCAGTGGTACCTGTGTTTTCATTATTTCAGACTTTGATAACTGCATGTCTCCTGTAAGTTCCTTGACAGCAATTCCGAGTGGTTCTAATCGACCCCCAAAGTTACGGACCATCTCTGCAGCCAACGCTTTCATAGGGGCCACATAAATTATCTACAATGACAGCAAATGTTTTAACTCTTATGTTTTTCTAATTTAAAGTTTTGTAAAAAATTCCTTTTCTCGGTAAAAAACTATGCCATGAAAATATTCATTTTATTACCTTTTCACTATTTTATTTTGCAGAGACTGACCTTGAACTCATCCTTTTTAATGACCCCCTGTGATATGTGCTGTTTCATCTCATGAAGTATTGTTAACATGGCAATATTTGTCTTCCCAGCACCAGTGGGGGCACAAATCAACAGATTCTCATTCGTCTTGTATGCAGCATCAAATACAACTGACTGGATACGATTCAGGGCCTTGGTGTTCTTAAACGCTAGCTTAGCAACCTGAAACACATATGTTTTTTTCTTTAAAACTGGTGCCTGTACATCAGTCTGATTTTAATATTATGTAACCCTATTCCTCCGTTTGTTTTCCACCTTTCATGTCTAGAAAAGTAGTATTTTTACCAAATCTTAAACAGAATTACTGTTATCATTCTTGCAATTTTCAATTTGATATTAATTATAAGGATAAAACAGACTAAAGCTAACTTCATTTGATATAAGAGAATGACTTGTAATACGTGACTTACATCGTCTAGGTCAGCGATCTGTACCCTCTTGTCCCCCACATTTGTGGCCTGGGCCTCCGTGTGGGGGATCCTGACCTCCTCTGCTAACTTGGTACTCTTCCTGGTGAACGTGTCTGGTAAAACCATCTGAAACAGACTAAATATGTAGCAAAGGAATATCTACTATAACACAAAATTCTTCAAACTCTTATTCAAGAATCTTATTTATCCTCAGTCGAAATTACAGTAAAATAGGCTTGTAGCTAAAGGTGAGTAATTTAAGATTATTATAATTATATCCAGTTAGTTTATTATACATTTAAGTTACAAAGCTTAATAAATGAAAATCATGCCAATGTCAATGTGGTTTCATAATAAGCAGATGTCAGAAATAAGATCTGATACCATAAGATTCAGTATACACTATTTTGCTGAAGGTACTGAATAAAATTAGAATTAATTGAGGACTAGTCTATGGTTACCTTGACTCCTCCAATGAAAGCTGAGGACTGTCTGGCCTCTTCCATGGAGTCGAATACATAGGGATATTTCTCTCGGGGTGTGTAACCTCCCCCTGCCCCCACTGAACATTGGAGCGGGGGCCTTTAATGCAGCTTCTCTGTAATAAGATACAGTGTATGCTTAATATGCAAAATCTCACAAATGTTGCAGAAGCAAGCGCATTTTTTACACCAAAGAAGGTAGAAAAGTAAAGTTACCAAGCATTTTTTTCTTCAAACACTATGATTTATAGGTTATTCTACACTAACATAAAATGCCATACTGATTTTACACTGACCATCACTTAAACAACCAAATAAAAGATAAAAAATAAAATTTAACAAGAAATATTTTCTGGAATACACATGTTTCTACGTACCTTTGAGCCCTGAGTTGCTGAGGATTGAAGAGGAAGCCCACATCTTCCTCCTCCTCGTCTCTCCTCCTGTCTCTCTTCTCCTCCTTCCTCATTATCTTCATCAGATGCTTCTCATCCTCTGTCTGTAAATAGTATAAACTTCTATAATCCTTATTCTTCTTCCTTCTGATGGTTACAATAGAACAATCCTTATCTTAATATTGATTGATTGTATACTGTTTAACCTCCCTCTAGAATCTTTCACTGATATTGAGACGTCACCATTGCCGGTGAAGGGCTGCAAATTTAGGCCTATGCTCGGCACTTACGGCCTTTGAGCAGGGAGGGATCTTTATCGTGCCACACCTGCTGTGACACGGGGCCTCGGTTTATACGGTCTCATCCGAAGGATGCCCCATTTACTCACCTTTTACGACAAGCAAGTGGGTACTCAGGACCTATTCTAACCCAGATTCCCACGGGGCCCTTATCTTAATAATTTTGTCACATAACAGAGGGCGTAACTTTTATTTTATTTGTAGATCTACATTTAACAATCCGTATTTATGTCTGGTATTCTCGGATCTATTACTTACCTGTACAATTACCTGACAGGCATAATTAGATCAGGTAATGGGGGGGGGGGGGGTGTTCTTACCTGTACAGTAACTTGACAGCCATAGGTGGCCTTTTTCTTACCTGTACAGTAACTTGACAACCATAGGTGGGCCGGGTAACTGGTGGCCTGTTTCCTCCATCAGCTTTAGCTCCTAGAATGCAAATCATTATCACATGTTTCAGATAAGTGTCAACAAAGCACTAAATGAACTCTAACTACAACCAAAATAATTTACATCTGTAAAAGACTCTGAAACTAAGCAACCTCTTAGTGTAACTTTTCAAATCCCAAATTCTCTCCCCTTTCCTCAGAATCCAGGGTTTTTGAATCTTTATTTCATTTTTCCAATCTAAACTTTCACTTAGATACATTCATGACCATACGGTTACAAGACATAGAAATATTTTAAGATATTTTCATTTTGGCTACAACTTTCGACTTACTTGTTGAGAAGAACTATACATACGTGTTTGTTTACTGCTCTCTGGTCGAGTTAAAGCTCCCTCTATAATTTTTCTTTTGTTTTGAATCAAACTTTGGATGAGTTCAAATCTGTCAAAGCCCAGAAGCTCAAAGAGCTGCAAAACAAACAAAAAAAACCCACTCTTTTTAATAACAAGATTGAACTTTTGTATCTCTAATATCAATATCTTTATATTCAGATGATATTTTCTTTAAAAGCTCTGAAACCTTTTGCAATGAGACTATAGGTCATGGTTTAAGTTGATAAAAACCTTTACTGACATTAAAGCAAAGAGAAAAAAGGTCAAGGTTATTTTCTTTCTTCATCTGCATTTCTGTGGCTCCCCTCTTTGTTTTTCCCTAAGCAGATGCATTAAATTTTCTAATAGCTTGTTTCACTTTAACGTGTTTGAACATACTCAGAATGCCTACATTATTTTGAAGTTCTTCGTCTGAGTTGGATGCTGTCAGAACATCAAATATGGTGGAGCATAAGTCCTCTCTACTCATACCCAGATAATTTTCCTCCCCAGGAAAATACTTGATTACCTCCCTTTGTAGCCATGACGCATCATACCTACAACATATTGTGTGTGATATTAAATGAACTCCCAGTCATGCTAAAAATAACAAAATATTCTACTATTTTCAACTTGGAAAGAAAATTTGAAATACATGCCAAGCTTTTTCCCCCTTCAACATGTTCAACACAGTAGCAAATCAACATTTGGCTACACCGAAGTGAAAGCTTTACATAAAAAGAAATCTTTAACACTTCAAAAAATTTTTGATTTTGACAATATTCCAATTTATTTTAATTCTAATCTTTTTTGAGAGCCTGATAGTACATAATGCTAAAATCATTAACAAGATAACATAAATTCTAATATTAACTTTAGATATACCTTTCCTTGTCAGGTGATTCCCTCTTGGCAGCGATTGGTTTATGGGGGGAAGCTACATATTTCAGATCCAGCTCTCTCCTCTCACCTTCATCAGAATCCGAACTAAAATCCTCGTCCTCAAAATAAGATTCTGGACTTTGACCTATGAACTTAATGTTCATCCCGAACTCCTTGACACTGGCTTCTCCATCTGCCTCCTGTCGGTCCTGGTTACCAAGGGAATCAAGTGTGTTTTCTGGTAACCATGACACTATTTTGTTGACCAATGAACATGCATTGCTGGCTGCTGAGGCTGGAAATGGTCCGAAGATCTGTCGAAGTTTTGTTGTCTCTTTTTTCCCAACAATATTAGCAGACTTGAGAAGTTCAAACAGGAATGCTGCTGAACTCTCTATTGTCTCTAAATCTGCTTCTGATCCCACTGAAAAACACAAAAATAATTCTTAAGAACAGATCCTATAATATGTTAATTATTACAGTACTTACTTATTACAATAGCTTTGCAAAGAAAAGAGCCTTGAATTTTCATTGATATCTTAAAATGCCTCATTATATTGGTTATTTCTTATTGAATTTAAAAATAATTTACATATAACATTAAAGCATTGAAAGATAAATTGACAGAAGTATGTTCTTTCAAAAGCATATGTTTCAAATTATATTTTTAAATATAGAATGTTCCCTGTTTTCAGCTCTATGATGTATCAAAATACCAGTACCACACCTATTGATTTGGCGTACTGAGTTAGTTCTTTGAGAGCTGCTTTCACTTCCTCCTTTGACACATCAGCTTCTTTGTTTATAACCTCCGTCAGTCGCTGCCAGCTGACAGTATCTGTCTGTTTCTTTGCTGCAAGCTGTCGCTTACGAACTAACTCTTGATGCTCATCATTGAGTGATATCCCTGTGTCTCTGCTAACATTGGCAAATGCTCGTAAAGCTCCCGTCAGTCGCGGTAAGGACGTCATTGCTTTCCAGTGAATTGACTGTTAAATTTATGTTCATCATCAAAATTTAGTCTTATTTGAAATTCAATGAATGTTCAATTAATTAATCTATTAAAATTATAAACAACAATCTATAGTCAGTAATAGCAAGACACTCTCATGACAATAATTACATATGTCAGGATGATATTGCACTATTTCCATCTAGGGTTATACTTACACATTCTTGAAAGTCAACCACATCAATATGATCGCGTGGTGGATTCCAAGTACAATACAGAATATGTATAGCTAAAGATTGAAAAAAGGATAGAACATTCCGAGACAGAGTATGAAATTACCTCAGTGGAGCAATTAGCACTTTCACAATAACTGCAGTAGTACCACTCTTCTGCAGGGCAAATTAATAATTTTTGGTGGATTTTTTGTTTATAGATAATAATTAAATGTATACAGGTGTCTCATTATATCACGGTACTTAAATCTTTTGCATAAAAAAGTGTAATTCACTTTTTTAAATTTAACTTTCATCAAATGATATTCATAAACCAACCTATGGCCTAACTTTTTATCATCAAATTATTTCCCAAGCTTGCATCGTTTAACTTGTAGTCTCTTTTTAAAACAGGAAGTCTTATTTGTCTCCTAAATTGGAGAGTCTCATAATATCGCGGTATGGGAAAACATGGATACCTGAGGTTGACATGGTCTTCAATTCTTATTTTTTATTTTACCATGTAATATTCTACATAAGAAAATAAACAATTATGCGAACTAAAGACTTTCAAACATGAATTTTATATAGATTTCACTAGATTATAAACTTAGTGGGCTAAAAATAATAGTGGATTTCTGTAAAATTACGTTTTATTTGAATAATTTTTTTTCCGACGCATGTTCCAAACTTTTTAAGTTTTTGTAATTCTTCATCCTTCTTCATTCTTCATTAACTTTTTAACTTTTTAATCATCACAAAAATTTACATTAAGATGACAGTCTGATAGTTTATAATGAAACCCGCAATATAATGAGAATCGAGTATATATTTTAATAAAATATATCATTTTGTCCTGCAAAAGAGAAGTAGAGCATTTATCCTGAAACTATACAGGTCTATTGTATGAAAAGATGTTCAAATTAGACCAGTTTTGGTCATGAAAAGATTTTTTTAAAGAATATTTTAATGAATAGGCCTATTTATTTTATTTTTTTTACGTTTGACAGACACTGACTCTTCCAATATGAAAAATTGTTGCAATTTATTATGCCTATTTTTAACATCAAAAGATGAGCATTTTCTGCATACAAGTCGGTGGATGCATTGATTGGAAGCAGAGGAGACTCCATTATTAAAACTAACATGGATTATAACAGAACATTTTTTTAAAAATCATACCGCATCTGTGTGCTTTCACTTTTGTTTCTAGTTATTATCCTACCTCAATCAGACATTTTTTGTGGACTTTATCAATGCTGTAGTCCAGTAGCTGTCTTACCGTGTTTTTATTAATGTTGTAATCTTTATCGAGCACCAATTCCACTGGAGAGGTGTATTATTTCACCATTTTACATCAATATTCACGTGTGCACGAAGTAACCATCTTGCACAATCAGCAACTGCAGAAAACCGGAAGAAGTCCTAATCAAATGAGGCCTAGTAAAAGCTTTACAAAATTTATATAGATTATTTTTTCCCGTGTCAACATCGAGGTCTCTGTGGCGCAATCGGTTAGCGCGTTCGGCTGTTAACCGAAAGGTTGGTGGTTCGAGCCCACCCAGGGACGCTTCATTTTTTTTTCCTAATACTATTTTCTAAACCATTAGAAAATATTTAGTCGAAAAATGGCTTTACTAGAGCCATAAAAAAATGAATTTTGAACTTGAATGGGTCAAGTCTCCATTCATCATTAACTCTTAAATGATGGAAATGTAAATATGAAATCTATTTCATTTGCCAAAATGGAATCTGAACCCATACTTAAACAATGAAATGCAGAGTTACATGTGAAAAAGATTATATAACTTTGAAAAAATATAGCTTTCATGATTTTCTGGAATTGAGAAATATCTTTTCTCAGTACGGGGATTGTCCTTCCCTTTTATGCCTCCATTTTTAGCCCAAATATTCCTTATTTTCTTGAATCGATATTTTTCAGTCTTGCTTGAAAGTTGTTTTACAACGTTTTGAATAATAGAACTCTATGAAAAATTTAACATAACTATTACAACTTAAACACATTTAATTTTTAGCGATAATATTCAATTCTAGCGATCTCAGCACCCTTGCTAATATTGCCAAAATTTAATCCACCCTAAAAATTCAAACAATGAATCATTGACATAGCCCCATCCTCTTTCCAGTGAAAAAAAATAAGATAAAATCTATATACAATCTGTTTCTTTAATTTCTTCAAATTACACATAGTTCTTCCATTACAAAACATCCATCTTCATAAAGTTTTGTTTCTCCAAGCTTCTCAGTCCAAACTACATCCTCCAATAGCTGCAGACATACTTCTGTTTTAAAATACCCCGACCTTTGTCAAGGGTCACTGAATCTATACAGACAGCAGTCACGGTTCATTTGACTCGGTCCCACCTCCAGATTGTGGCATTATCAGACACCGCCAGCATTGTGCTGCCATCTCTTGTGAAGGAAATCTGGCGTATTGGCGTGTAACATTTGGGGTGTGTTAGAATGATGGGTCTGAAAAAAAGAAAGTGGATATGTTTGCTTTGTTTACACTGAATTTATAACTATACATATATTGAGTTGGGTCACATCTGAATTACTGTAAGTTGGGTTCCTTCTGACTTAATTTGATTGAGTGAGTCACATTTGACTTACTTTGATTGAGTTGGGTCACTTTTGACTTACTTTAACTGAATTGGGTCAAATTTTACCTTCTTTGACTGAATTGAGTCACATTTGACCTTCTTTTACTGAGCTGGGTCACATTTGACTTACTTTAGGTTGGGTCCTTTTGACTTACTTTGATTGAGTTGAGTCACATTTGACTTACTCTGATTGAGTTGGGTCACATTTAACTTACTTTGCTTGAGTTGAGTCCCTTTTGACTTTCTTTGATTGAGTTGAGTCACATTTGACTTACTTTGATTTGAGTCCCTTTTGACTTACTTTGATTGAGTTGGGTCTCATTTAACTTACTTTGAGTTGAGTCCCTTTTGACTTACTTTGATTGAGTTGGGTCACATTTGACTTACTTTTAGTTGAGTCCCTTTTGACTTACTTTAATGAGTTGAGTCACATTTGACTTACTTTGATTTGAGTCCCTTTTGACTAACTTTGTTTGAGTTGGGTCACATTTGACTTACTTTGAGTTGAGTCCCTTTTGACTGACTTTAATTGAGTTGAGTCCCTTTTGACTTACTTTGATTGCACTGGGACACATTTGACTTATTTAAGTTGAGTCATGTTTGACTAACTTTGATTGAATTGGGTTACATTTGACTTACTTTGAGTTGGGTCCCTTTTGACTTACTTTGATTGAGTTGGGTCACATTTGACTTACTTTGATTGGGTTGGATCTTCAAGATCAAGATCCCATACATAAACCTTGCCAATCTGATTTCCTAATGCTAGCACCTGTCAACAAAATAAAAATATTGTATTTTTTATTTTATGCGACATGAATTTTTGTCAACATGTTTGGAAATTCAATAAATGAAATTAATATATTTTAGATTTGCAGGAGGGGGTCAAATGGAAGTGTACATGTACATTGTACATGTATATATGTATAATTGTATATATACAATACTTAATATGGTAGAATTAATATTTAAAAAGATGTCCATATATTAAACCTTTAATATCATATATAGATATCTCCAAATATACCATCTTATCATATGCTTATTTACATGTGACTGGCTAAAACAAAATTGAATGAAAACACCTGTCTATAACACAATAAACCTGCAGAAAACTTTATAAAATGGCAATTTGTATCAGGATACATTTTGATAAATCACATTTTTTTTTCTTTTTTTAAAATCATTATGGAAATTCCAACAAATATTATTGATCTTCCAAATGGTCTCTATAATTTGTACTAAGCTGTGTACTTCTGACAAGAAAATTTACTTTATCAAGAAAATAATTCATGTTTCATGTCAGCAAAACTCTATAGTGATAACTTTATTAACTGCAAGTGTGTCTGAAGGCTGGGGAATAAATTGACCACATTTAAGATATGCAAAGACACAGTGTCCTGAACACGTTCATGCTCATTAGATATGCAGTGATTAGTGTAATCTGAGGACCTCTAATTAGAATTAGGGTGGAAACTCTGTCATAATCAGGAAAACTTTTATTTTGGGATAGTTTTGTAGCGATACCTTCCACTTTCACCATGTGAAGGACAATTTGTTTTCATGAATTCTTTACTGAGTTGAGGAGGAAATTAAGTTGATATCAGTGTACTGTATGTAAGGGGGACAGTTAAAAACATGGAGACTTGTGGCTAGACGACTAATCAGTTCTTCATGATAAGACAGTGAAGGAAAAAAATCTCCATTTTCCATTCTTTTTGTATATGAGAGGAGGAACAAAGTCATATCAGTGTGTAGCACCTTACATAAGTTTTGGGAACTGCAATGGCCTTCTATGAGGACACCACAAGGTTCATTGCATGTGTTGGTGTTCTTTTAATCTGGACTATTCCTTCCTCCCAGGGTTGTATGAAAGGGTGTGTTTGTGACAATTCCACTGTGTCCTGTACTCAAATTTTAACCTTTAGTGCTTTTACATTTCAACCCAAAATTACTAAACTCAACATAACTCTCAGCTATCTGGGACCTCATCTACAAACCTCTTTTTCTCCCTACATGGATTTAGAAGAGCTTTATTTATCAAATAACAGACTTCACGTGCTGGATGGAAATATATTCAAGTTCCTCAGAAGACTGAAATACCTTGACCTTAGCATGAATCACCTAGTGCGCCTTGACAACCACATTTTTCAACATTTGTCGTCTCTAGAAGTTTTGGATCTCAGCCACAATGACTTTTTTATTCTGCCGGACATTCCTTTCAGATACCTCATTAACCTTAGAGTTTTTAACATGAGTTTTAACCAATTACAGAACCCTAAACTAGGACTTAGATTTCAGGTCATGACCTTCTTAAATGTCCTTGACCTCTCAGCAAATAACTTTACTATCATTGGTAAGGACACATTTGAAAATACTCAAGGATGGTCTGATCAAGTTCCAAAGCATGTCAATCTGTCTAACTGTGCAATCTCAGTGATAGAACCTGACACTTTTGTCTACCCAGTGAGAATGGAGCTTCTGTCAGTAGCAGGGAACCCTGGGATAGGCGTGGAAAATCTCACAGACATGTTCAACTCCTCTCATTTCGAACAACTAAAACATCTAGATATCTCTGATATGAACCTGACTGATGTTACTGATCTTATTCCAATGTTCAGTAGAACCTCTTTGTCTGAACTAAAAATAGCCAGGAACAACCTGCGGGAAATCCCCCTAAGTCTGAGGGACTACCTCCGTCGTCTCACAGTTCTGGACATCAGCTATAATCAGCTGGACAAACTTTCCAATGCTGTGACTGAAATTGGTGGACTCCTTTATCTGGATGCCTCACATAACAAAATCACTGAGGTAGGTCGATCACTTAGATAATTCATTTACTGTTGTACCATTACCTTAATAAAATGTGTGTTGTTTTATTAAATTAAGCATGGGGCATTCAAAATCTAAAATGTTTATGCTACACCATGTGTTTCTATTTGTATTACAAGTACAATCAAACCATTTACTTCTAATTGTTGAGAAACTTTTCTCAGTATTCTGCAAACAATTAAAATTGAGTGAATTTGAGGTAGCAAAACTGACTGAGCACATCATTCAAAATTGTTATCCTTTCAGATAGATGAAACTTTCAAACAATCTCTGACAAACCTCCACACCCTGAGACTTTCTCACAATCGCCTTGGAGACAACTCAGTGTCTGTAACCAACAGTGAGGCCCTGATATTGCTGGACCTCAGCTTCAATGAAATGACACACTACCAGGCCCCCAGCACACTGAGAAACCTAGAGGACCTACTGCTGTCTGGAAACCGGATCAGAAACATCTCGTCCATGACTGGCCTCCACAACCTTCGGAGGTTTGACATCAGTCAGAACAGCCTGATCCAGCTCCCAGAATTCCTCTTTCTAGACTCCAGGAAGTTAATCCAAACAAACTTCAGCTCCAATAAGATAGCAGTGGTCAATCATCAAACATTCCGTCCAAAGTCACCTGATGTGATTGATCTGTCTAATAACAAGCTAGTGAGATTGAGGAATGCTGGCTGGAAGACTGCCAAATCTATAGATCTCCATGGTAACAGGATCAGTGAAATGGATGACCAATCATTTTATGCCATGTATGACCTGAAAGAGTTAGATCTTAGCCAAAATAATCTCAGTCAACTCAATCCAGCAGTTTTTGTCTTTTTGAGTGACCTGATGGTTCTTCAATTACAACACAACATCATCTCTAATGATATTGAACTTTACAATACAATGCAATCATTATATCAGATAAAAAGTGTTGATCTGAGCCACAATAAATTCAGATACTTGACTGAGGGAACTTTCAACTCCTGTCCAAACTTGGAGAAAATCAGCATGAGTGATAACCCTATCCATCTTCTCCACTCTTCCACTTTCTCTGTGCTGAAGAAACTACAAGAAGTGGATTTTTCCAACAGCAATTTCTTATGTGGATGTGAACTCATTGGTTTCCAAGAGTGGATGTTAATGACAAAAGTCAGAATTATCCACCAATCCAACAGCAGCTATGTATGTAAGTCCCCAATCCACAGGCTAGGAATGGATGTTAGGAGTTATGAAATGAGTGACTTTGAATGTGATGAGACCCTGTTCTACGTTACTGTGTTTTCCTCTATAGCAGCGGGTATCATGGTGATAGGTGCTATCGCGGCTCTCATTTACTACTACTGCTGCAAAAATAGAACACAGAAATCAGATGAAATGTACAAACCAATCATGAATGGGAGTGTTCCTTTGAAAGAGGAAAAGAAAAGAAGAGGCATTCCAATAGAAATTCTAAAGAATGCAGATGCCAGTGAAGTGGAGAAACTCCTTAAAGCAGAATATCGAAGAAAGAAGGAACCTGAGATATCCCAGAAAATGAAGGTCAAGGAGGATCCCAAGAAAAAGAGGCAGAAAAAGAACACAGTAGAAAACAGGATCACAAAAGATATGATCAGGTACCCTGGGATTCAACGTGATGTGAGAACATTACCGAGGAGGATAGAAAATCGGTATGTGGATAGACGCGATTACTACAGACCAATGCCATCACGTCCTATCTACAACCCCTATCTGTACGACCGCAGTAAAAGCCAAGTGGACCTATATCCACCTTCAAGAAGGTCACAATATTACGGATACAGGGAGAGACCGAGAAACCCCTACTACATCGCCCAGAACGTAGATATCATTCGGCGCCCTCGACCCAGATATAGTCAGAGCATGCCAGATATGCTGAACAGAATAACCACCCTCCCCAAGCCCCGCCCCCCTAGGGAGCCTCATTATATCAGGAGAGATCCAAGAACTGAGGAAAGTGCTTATGACGTGAGGGCTTTTAATGATCCAGCTTACAGGCCGTGGGCGGATCAAGAGAGGTGGGAAGAGAGTAGAAGGGAATACATAGCTCCTGCAGATATCCCCCCTGAGCCCCCCACAATTCACTCTGGATATTACACGATCTCGGCTAAAACAGCAGAAAGGGGAAGTGGAAATAGAACTCAGTGGATATAATGTACATCTAGCATAGTTTATATTAGTATTGAATTGAACGGCTAAGCTTTTTTGAAAAACAAGTTTTTTTTTTCATGTATGCACAAAGAATTCTTGGAAATTTATTTATCCTACCTTTTGTCTATGTACACTGTATTGTTATAAATGATTTTATCTACATAATTATTAGTTTTAGGTATAATAATAAAATATATAGTGTAACTCCAATTTGTACTGGTATTCATAACTGGCTTAATGCTGCATATCGATTTATTATCAAAGTTATATAATTTATATATATCCATGCCAATCTCTGCATAAATATTCTTACTGTGCACTGGTGTTCTTTTTAGCACTTTCAACCAAAAGAAAGATAAAACTAAAAAAAATTAACTCCTTAGATTAGTTAACACATTAATAAGCAATAGGGCATAATTATTTTTTTTGGTTAAATGAAATTTACATAATATGAACACCTGGTATTATTTTTACTTGACATCATGGACAATATGGGGGAAGGAACTAAAGTCTGAAAGCCTTCCCCCTCCCCTATGTATTTAATTTATTTCTGCAATCCTTTTAAACTTTTGGGATAGATGTACATGCATTAAGTCATTTATGATGGAATGACACCACTAACCTTCTGCCAGAAATCCAAACCAAACCTCATGTACCAAATGTCGCAGTCCTTGTAGTCAAAGCGATGGAGGATGGACACCGTGCTGTCACTCAGCTTCAGGGGGTAGTTAGGATCCGACAGGGGGCCGGGCTTCCAACAAATGATACAGTTCTCACAGGACTACAAGACAGAAAGTGAAAATAGATCTCAATAAATAATAAAAAGCTAACAATTTTATGTACCGTTTATACTCGCCTATAAGTCGGTCCGCCTATAAGGCGGTTGTATTTAATAAGCTTATATATCAGAGGGACTGACCTCATATAATATCATTCATTTTATAGCTTGCCTTTAAGTCGGACATAGAGTTTTGGACAAGAGATTGACTCCCAAAAATCTGACTTATAGGCGAGTATATACGGTACGTTTAAATTTACATGGGGCCATGATTCAAAGAAACAAAATCACAAGACTAGATTTAAATGATATTCAAACCTAACTTTTATTTTTACTTCATATATTTATTAACTAGATTTTTTACTCTTATCACTGATAAGAGTTCATTCTTAGGCACTGTAATTTTGTGAAAGTATGTGCAAATAAATTTTTTAAAAATTCTATTTTTAGAATGATGTTATTTCCAAATTGCTGAGTGGAACAGAGTATAAAGTATCAGGCAACATAAAAAAGTACTAGTGTCATATTTCAGTTTAGTTATTTTAATTAGGCACAATCTCCAATCAAATTTTTGGGGGTTGTACTTATGTACAAACACTGACTATAATAAAGTTTGTGTACTTTTCTTTAAACATTATGCTGATGCACAAAAATGAACTATAATCATATCTAATTATAATATTTCAGCACCGATAGAGATTTACCTTTGAGAGTATAAAATTGCCAAACCATCGTACACAGTCTACGTAATTTCTGTGTATATCTCTGGTGGAGAAGTCTGGGAAATGTTGAGCAACAGTAGGGAAGGGTCTGTAGGAAAATTAAAACAAGAATTAATTAATCTTAAGTCAATTTAGATAGCTAAAGATTACCATCGTTCTATGCTGTATCTACAAGTGATTAACCACTGCAAAACTGAGGGATTTCTGAAAGAGCATTTTTCTACTCCCTGCTTTCAAGAATTTTTCACTCATAACGAGATGCCACCACTTTCTGGGGAGGACTGTAAATTTAGACCTTTACTCAGCACTTACAACCTCTGAGTAGTAAGGTTACTTTTTTGTGCCAGCACTTACTGTGACACATGACTTCAATTTAAAGTTTCATCTGAATGACTAGTCTCCACATCCCGATGTGGGATTCAAACCTGTGATGTAAGGATCATGTCCTTACTCCAACACTCTAGAACAAAGGCTCTAACTTCTGTGCCATGCAGTTGACACTGTATTGTATTAGAACATTACTTAACCTGTTGGTTTTTGCTGCATTGTATGTGTATGAATCCTTCATCGCAGTTTGTATGGCCTCTGTGTCAGTTTTCCAGATCTTGAGGGAGTGGTCCATACCACAGGTGGTGATCATACTCCCAGTTATATTGAAATCCTACAAACAAGAAGTGTCAAATTAATTTCAGAGTTGTGGAAAACTTTTTCAGATAGCCTGTCATTTGGACTGTCATGAAAACAAAATAAGCCGATCCGAAGTGATTTTTGTCGGTCCGAAATAGTAAGCCGCAAAATGAAAAAAAAACCTTAATATTTATCCACTATATATTAAACACATCTTTTTAATAAATCATGTTAATAATGATACAAAATTCAGTCTCCATTTCCAAATCCTCTTCTGTTTTCTTTTAATTTTGCATTTATAACAATACAAGATACCAACGCTTTTGGGCAGGTCACAATGCTAATGCAGCAGAGTGAGTGCAACTTTTTTTATAACCATTTATGGATTTTGGAATTATATAAACCTAGAAAATTGGTCTAGAAATTGCAAAAATTCTTTGCATCGATAATAAAGATATCAACACGATCGGTAAAAAAAAAAAAAAGAAAATCCGGGACAGTCGGGTGTAAATACTAGATTTACTGCTTTCCCCACCTCTGCTTGAATTCTTTCTGTTAAAATTTTTCATATTTAGCTCCTCTAAACTTTATTTTTTTCTTTGATGCATTTTCTACCTCATTCTGCCCAGTTGTAAATTTAATAGGCCACGAGAACCATATTAGTTTCGCTTTCATTTACAGCCTCGATCTCGTTTAAAGAAAAGGTATACGCAATCGCACATAAGGTATGAAAATTAAGACGGGAAATGCACAGATGATAAATGGAAAACAATAAACTTTAACCAAAAAAAGGGGCCGGTCATTTGGACCGACATTGATAGCATTTTTACCGGTCATGCGAATTTTTTGTCGGTTTTGCCGGCATGACCGACAGTTTTCCACAACTCTGAATTTACTTCACTAACAAATGATACACTGTAAACAAATCTACTTCATATTCAAAGTTTACTTTATCATCAGATTTATTTTCACAGTGATCTTCACATAAAATAGGAATTTGCTAATTAAGGGTGTGAACTTTCTGCACTAAATATGTGAACTTACTGCACTGAGTACTTCATCTCTGTGACCATCCACTCCACCAAACTTCACCACACAAACATCAGTCTTTACATTCCATAACCTTATGGTGTGGTCTGCAATAAATGAACAAAGCCTTGTATCTTTTCTCTGAGCTTGCAGATATTTCAGTGCATCTTTCTTTATATCAAATTATTTTTAAAATAACTAATATTCAAAACAATTCTAGATCACTGACCTTTGGATGCTGAGAGTAACATGTTTGGGTCTCTTGGGTGAAATTTAAGCTCATTGACTGCTATACCATGTCCAACAAAATGCTGTAAAAAAATGAAAAACATTCTAACATACTCAAGAACTATAAACCAGTCCCATATTTCAGCTACAGTAAATTTAAATAAATCTTTAAGGACATCTCTAATTGCATTGTAACATGTCTGTTTTACGTTATATTTATCAACTGAACTTCTCTGTGAAAAATATATGACTTCAATATATTAAGCAGATAGACATTAAAAACTTGTTCTGTATGCATGTTCTGGGATAAATGTAAATCAGAACTAGAGAATAAAAAAAATATACTGACATGCAAAAAAACCGCAACACCCTATTTTAGGGGGAAATAATTATGTAAAGTAAAGAATTTTGTATCTTAAAATTATGAATATCTTCAATTTGGTAAACATTGGTAATTTAATGGTTGAACGATTTCCATACCATAACCCGAAGACAAGTTTGAGTCTGCTTAACAGAAATAAAAAAATGCATGTCTAACAAAACATTTGGCAATAATATGCAGTTTTAAGGGTTTTTTACTGTTCATCATAAGTAGTGCAGCAATATTTCAAAAAATAAACTCTCCTTTCGTTTCCCATAACAATGCTAAGCTACTTGAAAATGGCTTATGTACGCATTTCCATAGCTCTAGCTGGAAATTTCAATGTAAAGGTGATGGAGAGTTGCTGATGCAAAATTTCACTACATTACGCCTCAACAGGGTCTTAAGTATCATATGCATTAAGGACAGTCCTTGTTCCGGAAGTCCAAGGGTAGCTACACTGCTCTAAGTTAGAGAAAATTCGACCTAATCATCTGAAAAACAGGCATTTAAAAATGCCAAAGAATAATTCCTTCACTCAGATCTCGATATTAATGAACCTATTGTATCGTAGAAATTAAGCTGCAATTGTTGTTTAGGGCAGTCTTGGGCGTTTTACTTGAATGGCTGGGAGGGGGGTGTTTATAAACAGTCATATTTTACTTAGTAAACAGATAAAAATTTAACATTTTTATCAAATCTTTGATGTTCTGAAAAGTGAGTTTAGCCTTACCTTATTCGCTTTTGAAAATTATAAGATAAAAAAATCAAACATTTGTAGATTACTGCTTGTTGTGTTTCTTTTGCGTGTCAGTATAAAAATGTACAAACCTTGACACAGCAGAGAGCTATGGGACTTAGAATCCTGATTATCCCCCTCAGACCAGCCACAGCGACCAATGGTTGGCCAGTAACATTGTCATATGACCAGGCACAGCAGTAGAAATTCTCATCTGTCTGAGTACGTCATCAAGGACTGATAGTAAAATGACAACGTGCCTAGACTTATGTCTGTGATCAAAGAACAATGTCAGATCAAAGCTTTAATTCTAAACTAAATGAAACTGGGGTGAAAATTCCCTGTATACAGTATATTAATGTGGATTGCTTCTGTATTAATACATAAGAGGATACGCATGGATCTGCATAAGCCTGTACTAGCTTTATTTTCCCATTCTCCTGGAGTTCGTAAATTGTTACCTGCATATAAAAAAGAAGGTAATCCAAGAGTATACAGCTTACCTCAAAGAAGCTTTCAGTAAGATATAACATCTAATGTTAATTCAATATCCAATATTATCAGTAACCTACATGTCCTGATGTAGCTTATATATAGTCAGAGTTACATACCCTGTTGTGGCCTACAGATGCAAATATAATGGGTTCCCCCTCCTTGGTGTGACGATTGACGTCGATTCCAAAAATTGGCTGCCCATGATCTTCCTGTTAATTTTGTTTCAATAAGATTTTTGAAATTGAAAAAATGTTAGGACTAGGTTAAAAGAACGAGAGGAAGAAAAAAAATGATGAAATAATATTCCTTTAATGCCTACAGTAATATAATGAATGT